TAACATCATTTTAAAGTGCAAAAACGACAAAGATTACTTTATAAATATTTTATGTCAAAATTGAAATATAATATTTTTATGTAAGGATTAAGATGTGAATGTGTAACTGACAAAATTTTAATTTAAACCGTTGTAAATTAAATTCAACAGCATATATTTATTCATATATTATAAAATTTAATCCTTTTTTAAATTAAAGTATTTTTAAGAATTTTTTGAGTTTAAGTCAAATATTGAACTAAATACTTAAAAATAACTCTATATTTACAATAATTCTCCTAACTTCAAGTAATAATAATAATAATAATAATAATAATAATAATAATATTATTATTATTATTATTATTATTATTATTATTATTATTATTATTATTATCATTTGTAGAGAATACTGGTAGGTTAAACTAAAATGGATATATAATTTTTCTATGAAAACATATTTAATATATCTATTTGTGAATTAATATTTAAAATAAATTAATTTATATTTTAATATATTGAATAAGTACTTTTTTCATTTAAAAAAACTAGCATGTAATAAAATATTTATATAAGATCTAAAATGTAAATTTTGGAAGTATTATAAACAAATATTAATTGTATAGATTAAATGTGTAATTTAATTATAAATAAACAAAATATAAAACTTATCTAAAAAAATTAATAATAAAATATCAAATAAAAAAATTTCAAGAGGTAAAAATTTGTATATTTAAATAAAAAATCATTATTTGAGGTCAAATATTATACATATCACAGATAAAATTTATTAATTTAAAAATAAATACATCCATAAAAAATTATAATTGTAATTAATAAAATATAAAAGACAGTCCATATATGATTATTATATTTTTTTTATTACATTTATAAATATATATATATATATATAATTTTTTTATTATGAATAAAAATATTTAATTAATAAAAAATAATATAAAAATCAATTTTATAAGATTTTTAGTCGATATAATAACAACTATTTTCTTATATTATTATAGAAAGTTAAGAATTAACTTATGTAATAAAAATTTTATAGAAATTAATATATTATATAAAAATTATTATGACTATTACTTTATTTAGTTTTTTAAAAGAAGAAAATAAAATAAATTTTTTATTAGTTAAAAAATAATTATATATTAAAAATAATATTAAATTATAATACAATATTTTTTAAAATTAAATTCAGTAATAGAAACTAAATTATAGAAAAATATATGTGTAACAACTAAAATATTGCTTTTTAAATATAAAAATTAATTTATAAAAAAATACCGATTATAAAAATTAAATGCACTTTTTAACTTAACTTTTTTATAGTGAATATTTAAATTTTAAATATTAAAATTTAATTTGATTTAAATTTTAAACGTTGTACATTAAATAAATTTATTTTTAGATAAATTATTGTAATTTAATCGATTGTAATTTAAATTTAATTTTAAAATTATTGCATATCACATCAATAAATGTTGTGTCTTAATTTTATCATTGTATTTTAAAATTTTTCATTTAATAATAAAAATATTTATTTTATTTTAATTAGAGAATACTTGTTCAACGTGCAAAAGTTTATTATTTCTTATTTCATTAATGAGATATATTTTTTCAAACTATATGACGTTTCTATTTTGACAACATATTTTTTAATATTTTTATTGATAAATTATTAAGTAATTTTTAATAAATAACTTAAAAATAAGAATAAAAATGGGTTGAGTCAAATTAAAATTTATAAAATTTAAATTTAGCCTAATTTTTAAATTTTAGGCTCCAACCTATCATATTTACTTAACATTAGCCATTTTTTAAAACTTAGATATAGATTGACGTTTATAAAAGTTCAATCTAGTCTGTAAATCGATTTATAAAGCTAATTTGTAATAAGATATTTTAAATTAAGTAAAAAAAAAACTTATATTTAAATACGTTAATGATCTTAAATTTATATATAAATTAAGATTAAAATATTAAAATAAATAAATAACATCAAATTATTATTATTATTATAAGTTGATCTGTTTAATTTTAAAATATTAAATAATTAAAATATAACCTTTTTAATTAAATAAATTCTTAAATAAGTCTAATTTAAACAAAACCTTATATAAGCTAAGCTATAGGTTTCGGACGAATGATTCAATTTTTTTTTATTCCTACTTAAAATTAATAATAAAAATAAAAAACACGTTATTATTATTATTATTTACTATAAAAAAGTTATACATAACCGGACATGTTTTGCACGCTTCCAATTTTTAATAAAGAATCCAAAGTTCGGTAACCTTGGAAAGACAACGTCATGCCTATGTTTCTAGCTTTTAAATAAGACAAAAATTTAAGCTAAATATTAATTGTATTTTAAATTAAAATTAAAATTTTATCTGAATAATTTGCATAATAAAAAATGTTATTAAAATTTGATGTTAACCATTAAACTCAAATTTTAATCTTAATAAGAGAATAAAACGAAAACATTTACTGTATCATACTTGACTTTTGTCCTCTTAATTATTTTTTCATGAGTTCCTATTAAATAATTGAACCATTGGCTCAAAATAAAAATAATATTTTTATCTCATTACTATGATGTGATCAACGTCATCTTGTTTTATATCATTTTAGGAAAATCCAAAATCTTTCTTATTAACGTAAGAATACTAAAACTATACTCCACTTTTTTTAAAGTTGGTAGCCATATGGTACAATAATTCATTGGCTAAACCAAACATAATGAGCATTTATATCACCTAATACTTATATATAATAGTTTGGGTTGATTTAATTTAACCTTTTAATTGATGCATGTTAACTACATGTATTAATTTTTCTACAAGATAAACATTGATAAAAAAAAAAAATACAATCAAATAGTTTAGATTTATTTTATTCTGTTGGGTGATGTCTAAACTAATCTGTACACTTTTTAATAAGTTTTTATGGTATAAAAATTATATGTCACGTTAACTTTGGTGAATACTGAATATAAAATACTGTAGAGTTGTACAAAATGATATTTTTGTAACTTGTTTACAGTAATTTTTTTCATATTATTTAAAGTAGCATTTAAACTTGTATTATTATTATTTACTACCTCGTTTAATATTATATTATATTATTTAATTTGATTATTAAATTATTATTATTTTCAATATATATTAACTTTAGACAAATAATTGCAAATTTTGAAAGAAAAAAAAAACAAATAGTTCAAAGTTTAATTTAAAACTTAAAGTATAATTACTTAAAATATATTTCTGTCTGTCTGTAAAATAAAAAATATATAAACATGTTATTTTATATTGTTTTATTTTTTATTTTCTAGTTTAATTCTAACTTTACCAAATACTTTTATATTACTAAATACCTTTAATTTCACCCAACTATTAAGTTTTAAACTTTCAACTAACTTATTAACTATTTTTTTACCAAATGTAACGTATCGTTAAAAAGTAAAAAGGAAAACAAAATTATAACAACTTACAATTCAATTAAAATATCAATTTTAAAAAATATATAATATTTAAATATTACAAAAAAAATATACTAATCTGGATCTCTTTCTATTGTGTCAGAAATTGGATATTCAATTTCATTTTTGCTAAGAAAAAGATAAAAAAATTTAAGTCAAAATAACTAAAACGAATTTTATATACTTGAAAAAAGAAAATTAAGTATAGAAAAAGAGGAGACCGGATTGAGTAAAGAGAGAGAGAGAGGTAGTGGCAAAACTAGAAAAGAGTGTAAAGAAAATGTGAAAAGTTAGGTATAAAGTAAAAAAAATAAAAGAGTTGAATATGAGAGGAAAAAAAATAGTTGGAGGTTGAAGAGAAAATATTACAAAAAATAAAGATATAAGAAGATTGAAAGAGAAAATTTTGATCCAACAAAATTTGCTTAAACTAATTTTGCATAGTTTTTAAATTTTTTTTTTTTGTTTAAATAAGCTTTATTTTTGCTTTTGCTTAAAAAAAATGAAACTAAATATCCAGTATTATCTAGACAAAAAAAAAATCTAAATCTATAATCTATCAAAATGTCAAGTTTTTAACATATAAATAATTTTATCTTTTAATTAGATAATTTATATGGATAAAAATTTACAAATTAAAACATATACATTATTTTGCTGAAAAAAATGCATTATTATCTTAAGAACAAAATTTTATATTATTAACTTTTTTTTTCAAATTATATCATTGATTAGTTAATAAATGAATTTTCCAAATTCATAATTCAAGCAATAAAACAAATACCATTTTTTAAAACGATAGTAAGTAACAACTATCAAGTTTTAAATTTTAAATAAATCTAATATCTATTACATCATTGAATAATGATGTTTAAAAAAGTTGATTAGTTTTTTACTTATATCAATTATTATGTACTCAATATATTAACCATATTTACAAATATATTTTAATATTTTAATTTTTATGATTAAAACAAAGGTAAATACTTATTGTTGTCCTAAAATATTAGTTAAAAAATTAATGATAAAAATTTCTTTACAAATATTATGAATATGTCTATTTATTATTTTATTAAATAATTTTAAATTCGTTACATTTTTATTATTTAAAAATTTACGATTTTTATTTAATATTTTCTAAAAAATTTCAAACGAGACTCCTGATATTTTTTTGTTACAAGGTGACGTCTTTATGAATTTTTTATTTAATCTATCTAAATATTGTGAATTATTTATTTAATTTTTAATTAAAAACAAATAAAAATTCACATTATTTATGAAATAAATAATCGTAATATTTAAAGTTAGATAAAAAGTTATAATATTAAAAGACAATAAATAGAAAACAAAAATCATCAAAATATATTTGATAAAAAAATATCATGAAGAATTTATTTAAAATAAAAAAGTTTAGAAATTACATAAAAAGATTATAATATTTTAGGACTTTTTAAACCAATAATTTCCTTCGTAAATACGATGCTGAAGCTGCTTGATCCTCTTTACTATAAAATGTGTCTCTTCGTAGTTCCAATGGCCTTGGATTTCCACTAAAACGACAACATCACCATCATCATCTCATCAAACCAAGAACGAACAAAAGCTCCAATTTTGAATGGAGCAAAGCTACCCCAATAGCAAGTTCAAGAGGCTCTGTGTCTTTTGCGGCAGCAACTCCGGCAACCGACAAGTCTTCAGTGACGCTGCCATTGAATTGGCCAATGAATTGGTTACTTTCTTTTCTCTGTTCCTCATTCTCTTCTCAAAAAACTAATCTTTTCCATAACGGGCCATTTGGGTATGTTGTCAGAGATTTTTTTTATACCAACCTATTGTAAATGCAAGTCTCACAAAATATGCTTCACTTTTTAGTGTGTCACATTTTATTCATGTGTGAAGTTCTAAATTTGGTTTTTAATTTTGTAGTGTATTGCTAGGGAATAGTTGAGTTTCAATGTTGTCTTTTTAATTGTTCTATTCTATGTAATTAAAATTTACATCACAGGTTAAGAGGAACATTGACTTGGTGTATGGGGGAGGAAGTGTTGGGCTAATGGGCTTAATATCCCAGAGAATGTATGATGGTGGCTGCAATGTTCTTGGGTATGCTTAAAATAACATGCTTTTGTATTCTAGTGTTTATCATGGATGCTCTATTCATTCAACTGTGTAAGCTTGGTGGTGTTGATTTAACCACTTTGTCTCACTGTTTGTTTTTCTTGTATTTTTCCCTCATTTTCTCAATCTCCTCATGTACAGGATTATTCCAAAAGCTCTCATGCCTCTCGAGGTATTTGTGCTGCTATCTGTTTAACTGTTACCTTTAATCATCTGTGTCAGTTTACTTTTTTTTTTCTGCGTACGGTTAAATTGATCATTGGCATTGAATTGGTTCTTGTTTGATATTGGTTTATTTTTGGGATTTATTTGATTAGTTGACAACAAAGATAGAAGTCCTTTTGAAGAATTTATCTGAATTGGGGTGAAAGATTTTTTTTTTTTGAGGGGTGGGGGCGTGGTTATTATTGCGTGCTAAGTTTTGCACAGCATCATCGTCAGCCTACCTGTGCCATTATATTAGCACTTTGCTTGTTACTTCTTATAGTTAATATTTTGGGAGAAAATTTGTTGGGTTCTTTATGATAAATGGTCCCTTCGTCTTAGGAAAATTTATTGTTTGCTTTCAATGTAGAAAATATGATTCATTAATTGTTGGTAAGTTGCTATTGGGCTATTTTGACAGATATCTGGTGAAACAGTTGGTGAAGTAAAGATTGTTTCTGATATGCATGAGCGAAAAGCTGCAATGGCTGAAGAAGCTGATGCATTTATTGCTCTCCCTGGTAGTTACCAGAACAGCTTTTTCAAATAGTTTTTAAAATAATTGACGATTGGATGTGTTATTACATGTGAATATTACTAAAGATATTGTTTTATTTACTGAAATTAACTATTTTGGTGTATTGAATGCCTAATGTTGACTATTACTTTCTTTCTTATACCCTCCTTCCTTTTCCTTATAATTAGGAGGATATGGAACTATGGAAGAGCTGTTGGAGATGATAACTTGGGCCCAACTCGGAATTCATAAAAAACCGGTAAGCGGTAACCTGATGTTGTTACTATGTAGGGTAAAATCATTGGTATACTAATACAATCATATATTAACTCAGTATCATCCTGCACAGGTTGGTCTACTGAATGTTGATGGTTACTATAACTGTTTGCTTGCATTATTTGACAATGGTGTTGAGGAGGGTTTCATTAAGCCTGGCGCTCGGAATATAGTTGTCTCAGCTTCATCAGCCAAAGAACTTATGACGAAGATGGAGGTCTAAATATGACTAGTCATTTCTACCTTAACATGTGAAAGGAAACACCCGAAAATGTCTACATGCAAAATTTAATTCCGATTGTAAACTGATGAATGGCAGATTGATTTAATAAAATCATAAGAAAAAAATAATTTAACATCTGTGCTTGATATATCATAATAGATATCCGGCTAAGGCTACTGTCAACTGATCAGTTAAAGAGTTGGCATTGGATACCTAAAATAGATAAAGGGCTTAAGAATCTTTATCTTTCCATAATTTCTTCCTTGACAAATGAGAATATATTGGATCTCGTATTTTATTTTATATTCATCTTTTTTAAGGCACTGTGCTGTGTGATTATTGTCAAATAGGACTTTTCTGTTTGTATGTTACTTGTAAACATGAATATTATATGTAGCCTTTTGGGATATTACAATTTTCAAACCCTTAAAAAAATGCTTATATAAAACAATGATTTCAAAAGTGCTGTGTTGTTTCGTTCTTTCTTTTGCTTGTATGAAAGAGGTGTTTAGACTTTATAGTACTGTTACTGTTAATTATAACTCTAAATGCTTGATTCACCTTTTTGCAGCAATATTCTCCTTCCCATGAACATGTAGCCCCTCATGAGAGCTGGCAAACAAAGCAACTGGGTGATTATCCAGGACAAGAAAATGCAGAATGAAACTTTGATTGGTTGAAGGCTTTTCCAAAACAGTTTTTGACGTGATTCTTCATCTCTTGAAATGTATACACGAGTCCCTGTGGATGGGGCCATATGTTGTTTGTTACTGTGCTTTTGATTTTACAAAGTGCTGGTATACATGCTTTTCTATTTTGCATCATTTCATTCAATGGTCAATTGGGTCACTGTGTGAAAGTCATATAATTTGGTTTTTATTTAACACTGTTTAAAAGGCAAAAGCACATTGAAATTGCGAAGAGATGAGAAGCATTTCCATGGCCTAATCTCAAATGTGCATCATGGGGTGGCATGTGGCTCCACTATGCTGTGGATAAATTGGACAATGTAGGTGAATCTGGTCAACCTAGACTTTTGTGAACCTGAAGACTTTCAAGAAGTTTACTATGACTTCATAATTGGCCTCTTCTGTGGTACAATAGAATGAAGTAGAGTGGCTGATCTCCATAATGTGGCAATCATTATGCAGTGGGCATTTAGTTTAAGGTTGAATAAAATTAATTGAGTCGTTAAATATATTTAAAATACATACATAAATTAATCTAAATTATATATTTTTTATTGAAATGAGTGCTTTTATTAGAATGTGCGAGAATTAATTTTCAAACTACAAAACAAACAAGTCCATGGTCATTTAAAAAAACAGAAGAACCAGACCTCAATTTCATAACAATGATTTTGATGTCCCCCTAAGCTTTGCATTTTGATGAAATAACAATCAAAATGGTACCTGGAGGGTAACTGTCGTATATTTGCGATTTAAATAAACTTGTGTCTTTGGAACAATTATGCTCAAACTAAAAGTTTTAATTGGTAAAATATAATTATATAAATGATGTCTCAATGTCTATTGTACTATTCAACTTATCCAAATTGTAGGAGCTTTACTTGCATATAAGTGGAAGTGCCTTCGCATATATTCAGCAAGAGTAATTCTTATTTAACTTACTCTATCTAATATTTTTTATTAATTCAATCATTAAATTGAATGTTCACAAAAAGTAAATCAAGTTCATAAAAAATTATATAATATAAAAATTATTTAATATTTTTTCAATTAACTTTATTTTATCCTATTATATATATTTATCAAAATATAAATAAACTATGAATGTTTAGTTTAACTAAATTTCGACACAGTGATCAAGATGATATCCACTAAAAAAATGTTACTATCTTGTGTTAAAACAATTTGGTAATCATCAGTCACGTTGACAAATGCTGCACTTCATGGTGCAAGTTGGCCATATTTGAGCGTGCCAACAATGTTGGAAAAGATTATTGAGGAACTATTTATAGTAGAACCCTTATTGTCATGGTTCTCTACCTTTGAATATTTGATTCCATTGTCAACCGATTGACCATGCCAGCCTCCTTTACTTGTAATGGTGGACCAAATTGCTAACCATTAAGTCCAGTGGAGAAAGCTATTACTTCCTAAGGAGGCCCCTTCTTCCATTCATTCTTTCCTGATCATAATTTAGACATGTGAAATGTTTCTTAACAATTTAAAAAAAAAGACATTTTAAAACTAACTAAAATAAGTGATTTATTTAAAAAAAATAAGCTACCACGTACCCTAGTTATTTAATGTACTAAACAAATCACAAGATACATATATCATCTACATGAATTATGGCATCTTGGAATTTCTAAAACCTCTCTAACTTAAATATGTCATCCACTGCCTAAATTTACCTATATGAGGACAAGAATCATTTCCTTCAACAGTGGTTTCGAAGCATTCTCCTAGAATCAATTCTTTTGCCTCAATCATAATCTCTGGCGGATGAAGTGACCCTTAGAGACATTCTAACACAAGCAACCCCTATATGTAAAGATCACAACTGCACCAGTGCGCAGGAATAAACTGTTCTTTATTAAACTCTGTTTCCATGCAAATAAAACAAATTGTGGTGGTATGCCATCATCACTACTGTCATATACAATCCTCAATAACCAAACATAGTGGTGGAAGTTCAGGAATAGTTTTTACAAGGTGGCATCAGAAAGTTAACAAATATTTAATCCAAAGTGTGTGAGCCAGAAGGAATGATCCCAAAAAAAGCCATGCCCTCTGATGAAGCAGCCACTGTACGTACATAGAATACACCTTACCCTTGGCAGTGGGATTAGAAAGCAACTTAGTGCTTAGAAAATCCTGTGGAGGACGAAGGAACATTATCCAGCTCACATCAACTCAAGCTTTTTCTTTGGAAGATGATGATAATAGATGATTTAATGTTGCTGCTTGAATGACAGCACTTGGACTTGGTTCCCTTACACGGGAAGAATTGGCTCTTCTAGAGCCAAAATTCTTATCCACGTTGCTTCTTTTTCTTCGCGAAGAACATTGAAGGAATCCCACTAGCCGTGTTGAACCAACAAGTAAAATCACACCCATAATAATAAGTAGCCTGCAGCATGAAGTTTCATGTTATGAACATAATTCTGACAAAAGAACGTGAAGATTTCCATCTAGTTTGACAAACAAGAATGGATAGATAGAATCCTACCAAAATAGTCTCAATCTTTGGATACATTGCTTAATTAAGCACTTATTCAATAATTTTTTTAAAATTATGGCTTATACCATAAATTTAACCATAAAACTTATTGAGGTAAGCTGAAAACAACTTATTTTAATAAGTTATACCAAGGAGCTTATGTAAGTCATAAACTAATAAGTTGTCTATAGATGAAAGCCACTAAATTGTTTGTAACTCTAACAGGCAACTAAATATGATGTAGCTTCTTCCGTCTGGAAAGTATTGAAGAGCTGATGTTTACTCCTGCATTGTTTTATATTAGGAACCATGGAAGGCAATGGACATGAAATCTATTAACTTCCAATCCATTGGTCAGATATCAATGTAAGATGAGAAACATCAGTTTGCATTATGATTCTGGGATGGGGAAGATATTTTCTCCATGCATCGGATGGATGTTTCTCATTTCTCCATGAACATTATGGACTCTATCAATCTAAAAGTTCAATTTGTATCCTGTTCCAGAGGATCTGAATAACCTTGCTACTCTGAGTCTGCTTTCCTTTTCTTACTTGTTCATGTTTGTTATGTGAAGAGAAAAAACTAAAGGGTGGAAGTTTAATATAGCCTTTTCCTTTGTTAAAAAAAATTTGTAAAACACAAAGCATAACATCTTATATTACCATCCAAGAAGAAGTGCCAAGCGAGCTTTAGGGTCTGAAGGAAGTCGCTCACCCAAAGCAATCATCCCAGCGACTACACCAGTCAAAATTGATGCAACAGCTGCACATGTAGAAACTACAATAGCCCTCCCATGCTTTAGACCACGTGTCTGCAGGAGCAGGGAAGATAATGATTATTTAAAGTGGTTATTGTATCTGAAATTGGCAGTAGTAGAACTTGAACAAGCGTCTAGACAGTTTGACTGAAACAGGTTAAACGTTCTCCATGCTTAAAGGGTGTAACAGTTATCACAATAATAGATCATATAAAAGTTTTCTTGAGAGTACCTGGTAGTAAAAGCCTGTGCCACTACAACAAACACTGATCATGATGCACATAGGCACTAATAGCTGGGGAAAATCTTGCTCCAGGAACAGAAATCCCATCTTTGATATTACAGATGACATCCTGCATTTAGGCGTTAACAAAATTACAAGTAATATGTTATATGTACTGTTTCAGACAAAACATAAATGTATAAGCAGTTAACGTAAAATTGTCAAAACTTACATTGTGTCAGTGATTACTAACAAACAAGTTTCTGTAATATTTCTCAAATGCACCATTAATCCTTAATATTTTTGAAGATGTGCAGTTTATGCAATTTCCTCTCAGACATATTTATGACCTCTTAATGCTACCACGCTTGCAGTTGGTTTAAAGGAATTTCTGGTTTTGATATACATTGTAGCATGTTAGAACATTTTGGCTGGTGGGTGGTTTTAATTAAATCCTTGACAATTTAATTGTCAGAATCTTTATTCTGATATTGAAGAGTTGACGTATATGAAAAAGTGAGGTGTCTGAACATGAAATGAATCATAAATAGAGTAGAGAGGAAGCAAAAATACCCAAACAAAATACCAGATTCCAAGCCATAGATGATTTCCTCAACAACATCATATTCCATCTGTATACCAAAAATGTCAAGTGATAGAAGAACAGAAAAACAACATAACCCATATTACTGTATGTAGGCATTTTTTATGAAAATAGACAGATATATCTGAAGGTGTTCCAGCATGGATAAAACATGAATACCATCTCTTGTTCTCTTCGTTGACGCCTGCATATTCGAAGCCATCCTCTAAGCAGTATCTGTACAAGTGTTTCTAACAATTAAAATAAAAACAATGTCTGGAAGATAGTAATACCACTTTAGTCAATGGTGATTGGTGAACTCGTTATCTTTTAAAGAAAAGTTGCTAAAGCCCATACAAAAATGCCTTTTCTGATATTCTGTTTTTTGGTTCCTAACACGAGACCACAGAGTGCCTTTGTATTGACTTAAAAAGAATGGCATGCATAGATTCAAGAACCATGGGTTACTATTATATGAAAATGACTAGGAAAAACGATTAGCACATAATGAGATGAAGTATAATTCATTCAAATAACAATTTAATCTTAAAGAACTTAACACACTGATTATATGGCATCATAAAGATTGACGTCAGAATTCAGCTTAAATGCGCACCAGATAGAGGGAAAAATAACATTCCTGTGAAAATAAATGGTAAAAACAGATTATCAAGTAATCACACAAGGTTTTGCTCATATAAAAGTAGTGATTTTAGAAATATAAACAACTTCACACATGGATTATATGTCACTATTAGGCATGAAATCTAGCATTTATAAGCACCAGATTCAAGGCCAAATAAAAGTTTGGCAGCCGCACCATGCTTCCGTTAATAATAGAATACCACTATATCTTCTTTTACAATGATTTCAAATATTTCCTTGCAAAGTTGTTATTAAATCAAAATCAAGTGGCACAAACTACATCTTTCCATGATGTTCTTATGAATGCCAAATATCTCAGACCGTAAAATAAGTTGATTCATAAGACAAGGTACCTACAAACAAGATGAAAACAACAAATGCCAGGCCTGGTAAGTGAAAAATAGATAGAGCAACCGCCTCTTGCTCCTCACCTCCAGCACCAACTCCTACACATAATAAAAACATACAATGGTGAACAAATAGCATCACACAAATACAAAATAAATTTTTTTAATATCATGACACTGCAACACAACCTTAGTGTTCTCAGCAGCCAGATAATAAAAATGAGGAAAACTCTAGAAAATTTCAGTCCATTACTGAGGTGCTCAGATACAGGACAGCAATTATACATACAAATAAAATGGCCACAATTACTTTTATTAATGTTGCTCCAAATTCTGAACTATACATACAGCTAGAAAATTCACCATTCATCACAATCAACAAAATGAATTATCAAAAACTTTTGTTTCTGATTTTAAAATTTTTTTTTCTAATAATCGCCCCCACAACCTTGCTCCTTGTTGTATTTATAGGAAGCATAGTCAGGTAAAACAAAATGCTCTATGGCAATATAAAACTTACATTACCTATTGTGCCAAAACCTGCCAAAGTAATGCCAACCCAATCAACAGCATTCATCACTTCCTTGAGATAAAAATGAGAAAAGATAGAAAGAATTGCTAGTCCACAGCCAGAAACTGGTTGGATGACCGAGACCTGTAACATATTTGACAAAAGAAAACCACAAGGATACCAATGTCAAAAACCATACAAAACACTAGAAGAGCATGCTAAGAGTATAAAAAAAAACGTTTAAATTGAGTGCCATTCTTTTCCTTCATACACAGCCATTGTTTGCTATAGCACTTACTGGTGCCAACGACAATGCCCTTAGCATCAATAATGCCCCAAACATATCCATTAGAAAACCAATCACCCATGTTTTGTTTAAAGCATATGCCCTTATTACCTGCAAACACAATGGGATCAATAACCAACCAGTGACTTCATGCCCACATAACCTTAAATGAAACAAAAACAAAAACAAAAAATAAAAAAACTGATCTTGATATTAATTCCTTTTCCATATTCTCACTCAAATCATTCACATCATGGAAAAATGTCCAATTTCACATTGACAGCAAATAAACACAGCTATAAAAAACTAATAATAACTTCTAAATCCAGAGACACCTTATATTTCAAATGATAATGTTATTTAAAAAGGTAAGATCTTTAATAAAACCAAATTATGGGCATTAACAGAAAAACAAAAAAGAACTTTAGACATGCCTTGAGTTTGAAAGAGAGAGGGGGAAGAATGATAGTGCCCTTCTTCTGAAGGATCTTTCCGATGTTGTTGCCGGCAGTTGCAGCCACCGTTAATACAATAGATTCCCACATGTCACTGTTTCAAAATGTTTCAACTTTTCTTCCTCTTTGTTGCACTGCTAACTCTGTGTTCATTTGGTTTGGTATCCTCTACGATCTGTGTCACTAGTTCATTGTTACGCAACCTAAGCTACCAATTATTTATTTATTCATTAACATTAATATATCCATTAGTGGTTGGCTTCGCATTCTATATTTATAATATATTTCTCATGTGCTGTATATTTCAGTCAAATATATCATACATTCTTTTTAAAATTGCTATATTTTACTATTAATGTCGTATACCTGTACATTTTAGTTTTTTGGAAAATATTTATTTGTTTCATGGAGGAAAATAATATTCTTTAAATGTGGAGATGGACAAACTAAAAATATAATAACTACACCACCTTATTTTTAAACCTTTATAATTATTGTGTAAAAAAAATGGTGTAATTTTAATGAATGAAATTTTCAGTAATTGTTTAAAAATTAAGAGATTGTAAATTTTTAACATTGAATTTTATTTATAAATACATTAAATTAAGGTTTAGATAAGATTTTAATTTTTTTTAAAATCATATTTTTTATTTAGTATTTTTAAATTTTTTTAATCTTACCCCTTACAAATTATTATTTTTTATTTTTATTTAGTCTCTTTATTAGTAATTTATTAACTTGTTTCATTTTATGTTAACATAATATCTAAATTTACTTGTATAACTTGACAAAGATATACCTTGATGTATCATTAATAACATTAAGTCTTTCATATTTTATTTTTATAAAATTTAAGATTTTGAATTAGAATTTTTTAAATTAAAATTTAAAAATATAAAATATAAATATAAATATGACATCATCGTTTATATTGATTCTATGCCATGTATTTATTTTAAATTTATTTTTTTATTTTTTTCATATTTGAAATAAAATATAAAGAGAATAGAAAATTATTTATTAAATCTTTAATAATATTTTAGCTTAATTAATCTTTCAATCTTCATATTTTAAGATACATGTGATTTTAGTTTTTTATTTTTATTTAATTTGTTACATTTATTCGTTATTTTAATTATTCAAGTTAAATCGCGACCCAACTTTTCATTTAATAATTAAAAATAATATTATAAACATGTATAATATCATTGATTTATGCAAATTTAAAAGCTATATGAAAATTTAATTTAAAATAAAAATTTTATTATATTTTATTTACTAATCTTATTTAAACATTTTTTTATATTTTTTATATTAATTTACATAAATCAATAATATATCACACATTTATTATATTTTATTTATTGTTAAATAAAATTTTGAAATTGAAGATTTATTTTTGAAAAATAAAAAATTTAAATACAAACAATTAAAACTAGAGAGACTAAATCATCCATAAATTAAAATATAGAAGCTACAAATGTAATTAAATCTAATATCTTTAAAACATACATAAAATTAATTTAATGAAAATGTAATGTAACTAAAGAGTTAGTATTTTAATTATAGGAAAGTTGATGTAAAAGCAATAGCATCTTCTCGTGTGGTTGCTACTTGCTAGTGTCTAGTGGGGTCCCTCCATCACCTGGCAGTTAAGCAATTCCAATAATTTGATGCTTCCTTCACGCTTCAACTAATGCTCATATTCCAAGAGTGGCAGCTCAAAAATGTCCATCACCATTGCCAGGTTGTGTCATATATTTATTCAAAAATAATATTTTTAGATCGGTTTAAGTTTAAAATTTTTTACATTCAATCAAAACTTTTTATTAAATAAAAGATTTAAATTATGTATAAAATTTTTTAAACTTACACCGATATACAAAATTCTACCTCTACATTTATTTTAATACTATTAATTATATAATATATTCAATTGAATTTATACAGATAATTTTTTAACATGTTTTCAAATATGCCCTGAAACGATCACATGATTCACTTCTTAGTGGGGGAAAAGAGAGAGACTTACCAAAGCTACTAAAGTCAGAAAGAAGGCACCAATGGGGCACTTCTTGAATCATGATCCATAATCAAAGTTTCATGGTGTGGTTGTCTATTGCATCTTTTCTGGTGGCCAAATGCTTAGGCCTAGCATGTGCTTAGTTCTCTTCTCTTCACCTTGATGTTACTGAGAACTGTGGCCCAAATGGCGACAAGTTGCTGGCTGTATAGTGATGATCAGTATCTCTATTGGTAGAACTCACTAGAGTTAGGTAAAATTTATTGTGTATAATTCTTATATAATTCTCTGAGTGATATATTAGTTTTTCTTTCACTTATCTTATGCAACTAAATCTATTTCATTAGTATAACTCAGAAATAATTATTAAATGAGTTTCATAAATTATCTTCACCTTTTTTTTGTTTTTCTTGCAAAATGAGCCTCCTTTTTTAATTAAGCAATCATAGATTAAATAATTTGCTGTTACTTACATATTAGTGTCACCTCAAGTAAATCTAATAGTGCAACCTACCTTGATTCTGATTCTTATTTATTAAATCAGGTTAAGAAATTTGCCACGAGGTTTTCTATTTCTTAATTTTCAATGAATGTTACATTTGCCACCTTAGTAGACGCTGTCGTGTTACAGAAACACCCCATGTTGTTAAATTATACTATACTAACCCTCAATTTTTCTTATTATTAGTTTTAACAAAAACATTGAAACAACAATCATATCTACATATGTTGACAGTAAACTTAAAAAGTAATAATCAAATGTGATTGGTTAAGTGGTTAAAAGTATATTTCCAAACTTCACATGTTATATATACTTCAACTTACAAATTTTATCTACTCGAGCCTCAACCTTTTTTCTTGGTTCTAAATGTTATTATCTTCAATAAAAATTTTTATATCTTCTTATACCGTGCAATATTTATAAGCATATGAAATAAAGGAGATTTTTGTAACTAACTTTGTAGTATTAAATAGTAAGGGAATTGTTTATATAAAACTAGAAAAGAATTTCTTGTGATTTGGCTACTCTGCAAGAGGGTTAATCTTACTAATTATCCAATAAGAAACAGAAACCAATTTCGTTACCATGGTTATAAATAATCATTTTATGCCATGAACTTCATCTGATTCATGTAACTTTATTTGGAGAAGTTTTGTTGTTATACCGAGCATAGACTGTCTAGTTATTCAAAATTTTCAAGCTTTGCTGAGAATATATAAATATTCATTGAAGATATGAAGTACTAAAAATTACACCTACTTCAACAAAAGACAGTATATGTCTCTCAAATCCAAAATAATTTTGATTTAAAACAATCTTATGAGATAGACTTCTGGAAACAATTGATTCAAAAGACCAATTTTTAGTGTCAAGTTGCTGCCGGAAAAGCTAAGGAAGAACAATGATCAGCAAAAGGCACAATGGTTTGTATTTGTAACACATGGAGTCGGCGTTTTAAACTATGGTTAGGATACAATATTTACAATTATGTTACGTTTTTTAATGTTGTGAAAAATTATAGATAAATTTAGTTGTAATTATGGTTGTGATGTGATCACAGAAATCATAAAAACCTTGATGTAAGGCTCCAACTATAATTGCGAACCACAATTTAAAACACTATAGGAAGCTATTAAAGACGAATTGAAAAATATCAAAGGAAAAAGGACATGAATATTATTGGAAAACAGGCCCAACATTAATGGGTTAATCTATATCTATATCTATATATTAAACTTTGAACACATTTTTAGATAAAAGAAAAGCTGAAAAACTAGTATGTTCATAAACAGAGGCCTTGCAAAGTACAGTTAAGTCTAAAAATGGAAACAGACTACACACATGACATTAATCAATCAGACCCCTCTTAAAAAATCATGAACAAGAAAACAAAGATCTTTCACGACTGTATGCATAAATTTATAAACAAACGATGTATGCATAAACTGATCATAACCCATTAACCTACAATTCTCTTGAAGAACAGAAAACTAGTAAACATGAAATACAAACAGAAAAACAGAGAAGAAAATAAAAGTAATCACCACCAGCCATAAACCACTTGCCAGTACCTATCCTTAAGCCACCTAAAGCTCTTCCTCAATGAACCTTTGACCTTTCCTTCAACAGAATACATCTTATAGCTAGCAACCCTCTTCTTCCTTTGAAACTCAGGATCAGCAAAGCTCCAAGACTTGGAAATTGAAGACCTTGAGATGCTTTTTCCTTTCTTCAACTTCAAGTCCTTGTTAGGACCCTTTTGAGTATGTGCATAGGAAACACTATAGGACCTTAGATCACAAGGCCTTGGTGCTCCTCCATAGTAGCTCTCCATCTGCATCATGTTCCCATTTCCATAAGACCTTGATCTGTTGTAGTTGTAGTCCTCCATGGAAGAAAGCAAGAAAAAAATGATGGGTTTTATCTCACTCACTGTGTCTTCAAAGTCACAAGCTTTTGTTTATCAAAATTTGAGAGGAAGTGAGAGTGAGTTGTGTGTTGTGCGGGGTATCCAACAAAGACAATATGAACTTTAGTCTATTACTGTGACGGTGGACATTCGCTGGCTTTGTTTTACTTTGAATTTTTATTTGTATCTTCTTATCTAAATTCCATCAAATGCTACTGAGAATTGATACAGTCCCAATATTTCAACTTCAAATCATTAATATCACGCGTAATATTATGTATAAGAAAAGTGTTAACTTTTAGTCCTAATCAATTAAAATAATAAATTTATTAAAAACAAAACTATTTATTATTTTAAGAATATAAAAGTATAATGAATACTAGAAATTATATATATATATATATATATATATATATTAAACTTAATTTTAGAGATTAAAATTAATAACATCATATATATAATTACTTTTATATTTTATAAATATTTAAAAAAACATCTTAAAATTAAATAAGACAACATTTTATTTGTTCCACCATTATGATCATCAATAGAATTATTTTACACCCAAATTTAAAATAATAACCACAGATAATTTATATGCATATTACTCAAAATAATAAATAAAGACTTAAATATTAAACATGATAGATGTAAAATATTATCTTATTTCACTATTAATTAAATTTGGTTCATTTCTTCTTTAAATAAGTACAATTTTTGGTATAAAAATTAAGATTATTTGAGTAAATTTATGTAAGAGGAAATTTTATTTAAATATAAGGTGTTCATAATTGAGGAGAATGACAAAATTCTTCCTAAATGCATTAAAGATAATTTTATATTTAAAGGTTTGTTATTTTTTTTATTTGCTTATCAACCGTAAAAGACACATTTTAATTATTACAGTGTAAACTAAATAAATTTTTAAAGAAATCCTTATAAAAAAATTAGTGTCTTTTATAAATTAAAAATAATTTTTTTAAAATTGTTTCATTTAATTTTGCTAAAATTTAAGAAGATGGGTTATTTATATATATATATATATAAAAAGTTGCATTGAATTGTTTTAATCACATCACTAGTATTGTAAGCCTCCATGGTAAGAATGGAGCTAATCCCAAGACAGCACAAGACACAAAGAAAGATTCTCCCATAATGATGTTGAAGAAGAATGCACTTTGCTTGAAACAAAAATGGAATTCGTCACTTACCAATTATGAACATTTTTAAAGAACCTTTTTGCATTATAAAATTAATAATGCTTAAAGTTCTATTTTTTTTTTCATTTTTAAGTTTTAATGCTCTAATGTTTAACCAATAAAACACAAAAATATCCATTGGTACTAATTTCATATGTCATTTTTCATACTAAATAGCAACACTCTTATAAAAAAAAATATAATAAGAATAAACATTAAACAAGTCAAATTAATTAAATACACCTCACTAGTCCATCTAAACAGAGGATCAAATGTGAATAAATTTTCTCACGCTTATTTTTATTTGAAAAATAGTTATTTTTCAATTTCAAAAAATATTATTAATAACTATCGGCGTGTTTAATGGGAATCATTAGTGTCCACTGAAAGATATTTTGAAATTTTTGAACATTTTGCTTTTGACTTGGAAAAAGGATTTCCATTATCCCATTACATAACCTCACGCCAAAATTTTCAACACCGTGAATGGATTTTCCAAAAGTTGCTACGTAAAAGTTGACCAAAGTCTATGATTATATTTTTAAGTCATGATGTCATTTAATATTTGAATTTTAAATTCTTTGTGACATCAAACAAAGAAACAAATAATTGAAAAAATCTAATCCTTTTAATAAATAAGTTTAGTTAACTCAATTTTTAGAGTTGAAAATAAATAGTTAATAATAATAAAATTTTATTAAAAAAATATTTATTATATTTTTATAACTTCAATACAATAACTATATATATTTTTTAATAATTTAATAATTATTAATAAAATTTATTAAAAATTATATGAATTTCACTATTTTCATTTTAATTTAATATTTCTTTCTCATATATTTATACTTTTTAATAAATTTTAGATAATAATAAATAGTGTGTTGAAAAATATTGTTAAGATTATTCTTTTAACATATAAAATATATATTTGTTCATGTTTCATATCTTTCGTCATCTTTAAATTTGTTTTTTTTATTTAACTTTTTTAATAAAGACCACCATCTTACTTTTATTATATGTTTTTTTATTTTAAAATAATTTTTTATTATTTTACAATAAAATTTTGAAAATAAAAAAATAATATTTTCGTTGTAATAAAATAAAAACAGAAAATTTAAAAGTGAGTACTATGTTATAATAACTGACATTTCGAAAAAAAAATAATAAAGTAATTGACAGTAACTGTAATATAAGAAATTTACAGAGTAATTTATTAGGTACTTGTATCACGCAGCATACTAATATTTTTTAATGGGCATGTTTGAATCAGTTAATTTATTATAAAACAATATTTAACTTTTAATTTTTTTTATGGGCATATTTGAATAAGTTAGTTTATTGTAAAACAAAATTTCACTTGTTTTTTTTATAATTGAAATTCAAACAAACACGTGATTTTATGTTATGATAATTAGACTCAGATTTAAATCTGTATTTGCAAAAGTTATCTCCAATGAGTAGGTTTTTTATCTGTCAAATGAGTTTAGTGCTAGATAAACATTTATCTGTAAATTTTTCTGGAGGTGAATTTTCAAACATACCCATTTATAAAAAAATAATTTTTAATAATAAATATTCAAAGGCTATTTAATTAAAAAAAATTAGCATTTTGTTGGAGTGTAATTTTATTTAAGTAATGAAACTATTATTTTGGGCTTTAAGGTGTTGGTGGCACAACCTTTGGGCCAAAGAGAGGAGAACTTTATTTCTACGAAGCAAGTGCACAAACATGAGGCCTATGTTAGTGATCCATTAATTTTAACTCTTGAGAAAAAAAAGAATCCATTAATCTTATGGTGATTATCTTAATTCAAAATTGTTGAGTTAATTGCATGTGTCATAATTTTAATTAGTGAACTAGAGTTATTGTCCCACGAGTAGCTTAATATGGAAAAATAAAATTTAAGGGCAACGTTCCCACATTTCTTCCAATGTATATACAACTAATTTGGGAAACTATTAAATTAATTTTATCATTTATAGAAAAAATATTAAATTAATTTTATTCAAAAAATCTCTCGTAATAAATAATAATAGATAGTATTTATAATATATATTTCTGTGATTCTATATTTACATTTTAAAAGAGATGTATGATAATGGGATCCGGATCTCCTCATGTTCGAAATCGAACATGAGGGTCATATAATGTTGGTATAAATTTATAATTTCGCTTAAGCAAAATTTTGCTGGCTTATGCGAGCGTACAAATTTACACTAACATTATATGATCCTCATGTTTCGATGAATAATGTGCCTATACCAACTTTTTATGCTCCCTCTTTTTTCTTTTCCTTTCTTATGTTATTGTGCTTATTCTTGTGCCTATGGATACGTATCTATTCCTGTCAGAGCTCATTATTCTCATTTTAATTAAATAAGACATTTTAATATTTTAATTCTTTCTAATAAACTAATTAGTATAATACATATTATATATATATATATATATAATTTAATAGTTATAAACAATTATATTTTTATAAATAATTATGTATAAATAATAAAAATATTTAAAACATTGATTATTTCAGCTTTATTTTATAACTACAAATATTATATTTTAAAATACAAAAATTTAATAAAATTATGATTATTTTAAAATAATATATTAAATATTATATGTAAGCAAAGATATTTGTAAAAATTTTAAAAGTTTATATAAAGTAATTAATACATTTTTATAAATCACAGAAAATTTGAAAGTTTATATAAAATAATAATAATTTTTATCTTAAAAATATATAACAATTTTTTTAAAAAAATTATTGCGATGAATAAAAGTATAATTCACGTATTCTTATTAGACAATTTTAATGTTAAAAAATATATGTGACAAACTATTAAAAAAATAATTTTATTACATAATATTCTCATTTATAATATCAAAGTTAATTACTAAAATAAAACATTATTTCAATAATAAATATAGTTATAAAAAATTAGTTAAATAAAACATATAGCATATAATTTAGTGCAAAAATATATACAAACATCTTTTAAATTTTATCATAAAATATCATAAATTTAAAATTAAATATATTTATTGTATTTATATAAGCATAGTTACATTTATCCCGCACAATATCAAAGGTATTGGTTACTCAAACAATTAAAAGTATAATTTAAAAATTTAAAAATATATTAATATTTTTTTGTATAATTTTTAATATATCATAATATAAATTTTAATATTTTTTATTTATTAAATTATCAACCAATATGTACTTATTAATAAAACTCATAAATAAAATCCTATTTGTTACGAAAATATTTTATAAATACATCTTATTTCTGCTCATTAATTATCATTATTACTCGTTAGTTCAGGAATGCTTCCTTTTAATTTTAGGACATACTTGCTCATTATTTCTTGCTAATTACCCACTTTACTTAAGTAAAGCGTCTTTTTGTCATATTAATTTCGTCTTACTAAAACTCTGTTTGTTTTTTTCGTTAGCATAATATAACGAATTTAAAAATTAAAATAAATGGTGAGCACCATTTAGCAAACGATTTTTATGATTTTAATTATTTTTTATTCTTAGAAAATAATTCTCATAATATGTAATGAAAAGCATCAAGCACTGATATTTCTTTATTTCTTAAGTAATAGAAAATATTAGAATTTTGCTAACCAATGTTCTTAGAACATAAATTAAGAAATTTAAAATTATTTTTTATACTAAAATTCGTGTTGAAATTGCATTAAAAATATCTTTTAGAGGTATATTTATTTATTTTTACAAGATATTTCACTAAAGACACTTGTTAGAATTTTTAAAATAATTAAAAAAATATTAATGTCATTCTTTAAAAGTGAAGATAAACAACTAATAATAATAAAATTTTATTAAAAAATT